GGCAAAGGTCCTCCTCAGGCAGTAGGCCTTAAAAGCTGCTATAGCTCATTCCTTGGGTCTGAGTTGGAATTTGGAGGGAGCAACACCACTTTGATGTTGTATCGATGCCACCAATAAAGCTCTCCCTCCTGGGAGTATGCCCGTGCCTTTCCCTCCCCCTTTTCCCTCCCCATTCCAGCCCCAGGCACCTTACCATTAGCTTCCTCGCTCCCAAGATCCAAGGGCCCTTCCTTTACCTCCTTAACTCATTTCCTAAGTCCATTTCTTCCAGGAATTACTTTTCCTAAATCTGTTAATTTATCCAATAAATGTTCTCTTAGAGGGAAAAAAAAAAAAGACTACCAATGAAAGGATATTCAGGAGCATCCTATATAATAAAATTCTAATATGCAAATCGACTGAACAGCAGCACGAACAGTCACTATGACGTGCACTGACTACCAGGGGGAAGACGCTCAACGCAGGAGCTGCCCCCAGTCAGCTTCTTAGTGGCAGTGGGCACTTACTGATATGCTTGAAGGCTCTGAGGTTCTCACTGTGCCCCAAAGGGTTTCAATGTGTGGCCTGCAATGCTGCTCACAAGCAAAACTATTATTCTATCCTTAAAAGATTTCAAACCTAGCTGGTATTGACTTGGCCTCCTTATGGATGAAAGTTCTTTCAGGCATTTGTTTCCAGAATAAGGAGGTCTCAATGACCCCTGCGAACACCCCCATCTGGGAGGAAGCTGCCCCCGAGTTCCTGCCCCGATGCCAATCCAGTTCCTCCCCATATGTCTCTGGGTTCCCCAAAGCTGCCACCCCAGTGCTGGAGCCCGAAGGATCGAGTCTGAGTAAGTCCTCCTAAAGGGTCTCCTGTAGCCTCTGTCACTTAGCCACAACCCCCACTGGTTTTCACAGCCCGAAGTTACAGGACTTCTCTTCGCTCTGGAATCCTGGGCTGGGTGTCGGGTGTGGGACTGGGACTGGGACTGGGACTGGGACTGGGACCCCTTGCTTCTCATGGGGGAGCTCCACAGCCTAGATATCCCACCCAAAAAAACACTATAAGTGGGTGTCAGACCAGCCTATTCTGTGCCTCCACCCCTCCTACCAATCTCAATGTACTTTCTTTACTTCTCTAGTTGTAGGACTTCCATTCAGCCAAATTTCATGTGGTTCTGACTGATGGTTGTTCTGAATTTTAGTTGTAATTTTGATGTGGTTGTGAGAGGCAGCGAGTTTACTTACGCTGCCACGCTGGCTCTCTAGGCCTAACCTTGTCCTTTAACATCGCAAACAAACTTTTTGCTTTGGCTGATCGTCATGGTGCTGATGGGAATACACTTCTGTGTCTGGTCATCAATCTAAGTCATTAGAAATTTCTCCATGTCTGTTATAGGCCCTTCTCTAATTTTTGTTAATCCTGTTGCCTTTAACAAAGCAGATCCTTTAGCTTCCATCACTTTATTCTTCTTCAAGATCATAGCCATGGTAGAATGACACATGCCCAACTGGTGAGCAATAACCATCCTGATTTTCCACCTTCGTAGTCCTTAATGAATTTTAATTGTTTCCAGGTCAATCACTCGATGTGGTCTCTGCTGACAACATTAGCAGGATTTTCTATGTTTAGGGGCCAAAATTAAAATAGCACAAGGTAGACCTGGCCAGTGTTTCTCAGTGGTTAGAATGTCAGCCCACACAAGAAGGTCCTGGGTTTGATTCCCAGTCAAGGGTTATAGGTTATGGGTTCGCTCACACCCCCACCCCCATTGGGCTCATTTCGGAGGCAACCAGTCGATGTGTCTCTTTCACATCGATGTTTCTCCCTCTTCCACTCACTGAAAAGCAATTGGAAAAAAAAGGCAACCAGTCGATGTGTCTCTTTCACATCGATGTTTCTCCCTCTTCCACTCACTGAAAAGCAATTGGAAAAAAAAAAAAAAAAAACACAAGTCAAGCACAGGAAAAAATAATGCAATCAAGAGCCAAAGCAACCCTGAGAAGTTTGTTTTACAGCAAACTTCTTTTATAAGTACACTCCAAAATGATATATATAAAGCCTAAGCAGCCTTTATGACCGAATGACCAGAACAACCAGTCGACCAGTTGCTATGACAAGCGCTGACCACCAGGGGCAGGCGCTCAACGCAGGAGCTGCCCCCTGGTAGTCAGTGAGCTCCCACAGCCAACCTCCCATGGCCAGCCAACCCCCGCAGTCCCTCCCCACAGCCAGCCGGCCCACATCAGCCCCTGGTGCTAAACCATTCATAGACAACCTGCTTTTGGGTCGGGGTTTCGTATGTAGCAGAGCAGCTCCCTCACTGCAATCTATTGACACAAGGGTTTTGTCTCGCTCCCATCCTCTCCCTTCCCCGGGGGCCGCCCACCCACCACAGTGGTGGCGCGGTGGTGAGGGAAGGAGGAAGGGGGGAGGCAGAGAACCACACGGTGGTGGGGTACAGACGGCAGTGTCCGTTCCTTCCACACCCAGCCCAGCAACTGTCACCCCCTCTCCTGACCCCGCTGGGGCCTTTGGGCCCCAGGCTGGGACAGGGAACTGGGGGTGGGTGGCGGCAGATGCGAACCCTTTCCGGGGGGGCCAAGGGCCGGCTCCCTCCTTGGGGCCGGCGGCCAACCTCCCGCAGTCCCTACCCCAAGCTGGCAGGCCCCAATCGGTCCTGATCGCTGGCCAGGCCTAAGGACCCCACCCGTGCACGAATTCGTTCACCGGGCCTCTAGTAGTATAATAAATACATTAACAAGTAACAGTCATTTATAATCAAGTATTATATACTGTACATAATTGTATGCGCTTTGCTTTTATACAACCAGCAGAGCAGGTTTTTTTACACCAGCATCACCACAAACACGTGAGTAATGTATTGCACTATGTTACCATGGCTACAATGTCACTAGGAGATAGAAATTTTTCAGCTCCATTGTAATCTTATGGGACCACTTGTATATGTGATCCATTATTGACTGAAACGTTATGCGGTGCATGGCTGTATTTGTATTATCATTCTAATCTCAAATATATTTCTACCTATCCACCAATCATTGATAAATATGCACTGGGAGATATTTGGAATGATGCTCACTAAATGATGTTTATTTCTAGGCTGTACAAATTTTAGATAATTTCTTCCTTCTTTGTACCTTTTTCTGTATTTCTTAGATTATACTTTGTGTCATTTTTTATTAAAGTAGACATTTTTCTTAAAAAATTGAATACACATATAAAGATAGAGTCTCAGATATATTTAAGGAAACATTGGTAAACATTTTTCAATAGTAAAATACTATATACAATTTAGATGTAAGTTTAGTTATGGTAAATCCATACAGTTGCATACTAAGTAACATAACATAGAGGTATACCTAGGGACATGTAAAAATAATGATCACTATCAAGTTAAAAAAGGGTATTATACAACCATAGTGGTTATGAAGTATTTTAAAAAGAAAATATAGATTAAGTATTTATATTCATAGAAAAAAACTGGAAGGATAGACAACAAAATGTTAATCATAGTTATTTCTAGGCAATGGGATTACAGTTATTTTTCTTTATATATATATGCATATATATATATATATATACATATATATATACACACACACACACACACACACACTAGAGGCCCGGTGCACAAAATTCGTGCACAGGTAGGGTCCCTAGACCTGGCCGGTGATCAGGGCTGATCAGGGCTTTGGGCTGCTGGCCGGGGCCTTCCTTTTCTGACTGCCGGCTGCCAGCCAGGGCCTTGGGGCCTTCCTTCCTAGCTGCCGGCCAGGGCCTTCCTTCGTTCCATGTTGCCCCTGGTGGTCAGCCCATGTCATAGTGAGCGACCAAACTCCCGGTCAAACTCTCAAGGGGACACTTTGTATATTAGCCTTTTATATAGATAGATAGATAGATAGATAGATAGATAGATAGATAGATTACTTGTATTGCAAAAGTTGTTTTGCAAAACATAATGACAAGAACACAAAATTCTATCAGGGTGAAGATCGACTACATGATATATGGATTTTTTTTTAATGTAGGAGTAACCACAAAGAAAACATAAATAGAATGTATAACTTCAAAACCAGTAGAAGAAAAAAAGAGAATTAACAAAATCAATCAATCCAAGGTAGCAAGAGAAAACAGTAAAGCAAAAACAGTAAAGACACAAAATTTAGGGGGAAAGATCAATAATAAATTAAGCAGAATAAACTCACTAATTAAATAAACTCACTATATGCTATCTATAAAGACATCCAAAACTAATAATATCAAGGTTGAAAGAATAAAGATATATAAAACAAATATAAGTAAAAAAAGTTATTTGGAAATGACAGCTAATAATGTAACATACATTAACATACCCTTATTAAGGTGGGAATGCTTGCCATATTTGCTCATGTGTTCTGGTTGTGTTTTGTAATTAAAAACTAAAAACTTGAGAAAATAAATGTAAAGCCACTCCCCAACAAAAATGCCTTATTTTATCAATGGTTACTCATGAGTGAGTAACAGTTCATCACTGTGTCTCTAGAACGTAGCATCTGTAGTTACTCAACATTCTCTATATTGGCTGGATATAGTTTTTACTATGAAAGACTCAAGAATGCAAAAACAGAGCTGCATTACATAATTTATTATATCTTTTTTTGCTCTGATAAGTGGCCCCTTTTTATTGAGATACTCTGAGAGAGAATCCTAAAAACAGTGCTTCTGAAGAGATTAGAAACAGACATTTAGTGAATATGACAGGTTAGAAAAATAGTGTTCAACCCATCACTGCATTCTGCTTTAATCCCCTGCTCTGAAATTCCCAACGTTTCCATATTTTTCTCCCTTGGTGCCAGGATTTAGTCACCTGAGTAGAGAAATCAATAGCTGTACATTCTTAGCTGAAAGCTCATCATTGCCTTTTGGATTCCAAATTGAATTCTGGCATCCAATGAACTGTTCAAAAATTAGCCCCATTCTATAACACAATAAAAGAGAAAAAACACACCACATACCTGCCATCTTTCAGCGTGTTAACAATAAATCGGTTAATCTGGCAAATACAGTTGCTAGACAATCGTTCATCTTCAACAAGAGTGTTCAACTGTGTTGCCAACATAAAAGCTGAAAAGCAGAGATTACTTTAGTCTCCAAAACATTTTAGCCATGACAATCTGAAAGCTAATCACACCTTTACTAGCAAAGAATCATGCCTTAAATATGTTCCTGAAATTAAAACTAGTCAGACTGATTCTGCATAGTGAAAAACAGTATAATTTGCTGTGCATTAAACAGCTGCTGCTACTCTAAAATGTATGCATTTCTTAAAGCAACCCAACTCATTTTTTTCCATCATTCAGGTCTCACGACAAAGACTAAAAAATCTTTTCTAAGTCCTTCACATTGTGACTAGAGATAGCAAGCATATATTCTGCAAATTCTCTCCTTTCTCCCAGGTAAAGCTTCCAACATGGAAATAAAAACCCATAAAGGCAAGTATAGGACAGCTAACCCATCATATTCACTAAATGTCAATATCATCCTGAGGGAAATTAATCAAAGAAAGCATAGAGCACCAGTTAGAGAGAATTAATTAAGCCAAGTGGCAGCTTTCCACTAGATCCAGTCTATTGTTAGAACGCTCTCTGCCAGGTGCAATTCTGTCTGAATGAATTACATAGCCAAGCAAATGCAGACTTCTGGAATGCCCCAAATTACTGCAATCGTAATGTTGGGTATGCTTTCATTACTTAAATACAAATTCCGAGATTTATACATCATACTTACAGGATAGAGTGTTCACCCCATCACTCATAAGCAGTCGATAACGGGGCGGACTGTTCCCTGTAGTGATGGGACGGATGTTCTAGAAGAGAAAACTCGGTTCATTAGCCAGGTTGTCTGCCCAGTCCCCAGGGATAAGTAAACCTAAGTGGCAGGAGAGTAGGCCTGCCATTAGATCAACACAAACTGATCTGCTTGCTCATTCTCTCAACATTTAAATCCAAGTAAAAGAAAATCAGCTTTGATGATTGTCCCACCAACCTCTTTCACTAATATTATGAAACAAACATAGATGAGAATAAAATGTTGCCAATACTCTTGTGTTCTCTTCCCTAACTCCAATTTGTTGAAAACCAACTCTAAAAAAAAATATAACAAAGTACCTAATATATGCAAGGTACTGTGTAGGAAACATGCTAAAAATACAAAATGAAAAAAAAAAAATTCGTACCCTGAAGGGGCTTATAATGAGGGTAGAGCTGGAGGCCAAGAGACATAAGAGAAGTGTGCACATAATGACATGGGGCAGAACTGAGACATTTATTCCAACTGGAAGGAAATCAGAGGAAGCTTTAAGTGAAATATGTAAACAGAGCCTTACAGGGCTAATAAGCCTTGAGACAACTGGCTAACAGACAGAATCTGCAGGTATAATCCATGATTCTGCTTCTATTGATTTTCTAAATTCCCACGAAAATTTGAGAACCCCTTAAATGATAGGGTTAACAAAGAATGTTCTTGTTTGGTTGGGGTTTTTTTTTGTTTTGTTAATCCTCACCTGAGGATATTATTTGCATTGATTTTTAGAGAGAGTGGAAGGGAGAGGGAGAGACAGAGAGAGAAACATTGATGTGAGAGAGACACATGGATTGGTTGCCTCCTGCAAGTGCTCTGACCCGGGCTGGGGATCCAGCCTTCAATTGAGATTGTGCCCTTGACCTGAATCAAACGTGCGGCCCTTCTACTGAGCCAAACCAGCCAGGGCTAATGAAGAATTTTAAGCAGACAAGTTCATTTTACAGAGAGGCAATATGTAAGGCAGATTTGAGCAAGACAAACCTAAGGGCAGAAAGATAAGGAGGCAGTTATAATGATGTGCAGCACTACAGCATCCATTAATTGTGGAAAGAACAGAGGGGCAAAATCTCAGATTTGAATCTCCAAAGGTCTCCCTCTGGCTAAACTAATATGTATATTTTTAAAAGCCTGGTTCCTTTCTCAGGGTTATAACATGAACTGGCCTATTTTTTGTGATGGAGAGAATTTCCTAAAGTGAACAAATCTTTATGTCCTTCATCGAATGTAATTTACGATTACATATAAATTTAAAAACTGCTTGACATAAAATATATATAGTTACTTACAATGACTTGAGGATGGGTTTTATGGATGTCTCTCGTGTTGCATTATGGCTAAAGAGTAAAACAGATTTTTTTGAGATATTTGCACAAATCATGATTAAACCTGGGCATATTCTAATAACAACATAAATTGATGAACAAAAACAGATCCAGAGACAGAGAAACATCTATCAGACCGTCACCCTCAGAGGGGAGGTAGGGGAGGGTGGGGGTTAGGGGGAGAGATCAACCAAAGGGCTTTTATCCAGCATTTAGCCTTCCCCAAGGGCCCCAGCCCCCAGGGGGGTGAGGGCATGAGTGGGGGGTAGGGGGGTAATGGGGGGGTAAGGACACATATGTAATACCTTAATCAATAAAGAAAAAATAAATAAAAATTTTTTAAAAAAAGAAAAAGACTCAAGCTGCTGAACACCCTAAAAAAAACAAAACTGGACATATTTTTACAGTTTAGCATTTGTAATAAACTATACATAACAGAGCCTTTGGGGGGCTTATCATTTGAAAATCTAGGTTAAGTTTTATCACTCTGGACAAATTATAAAATTATAAAAGTGAGATACATGCTTAACAACAAGGATACACTCACTACATCTAAAATACCGGCATCACATAACACATTAATTCTCTATAGTGCCCATTACTAGGGAATTAAATAAATATGCTAAAATCTTAAAACAGAGTATTATAAACACTTAAAGAGAAGTTACTTATATAATACTGGCTGCCTCTTTTTAAAAAATATATATTTTTATTGATTTCAGAGAGGACGGGAGAGGGAGAGATAGAAACATCAATGATGAGAGAGAACCATTGATTGGCTGCCTCCTGCATGCCCCCCACTGGGGATTGAGCCCACAACCTGGGCATGTGCCCTTGACCAGAATCAAACCTGGGACCTTTCAGTCCGAAGGCTGATGCTCTATCCACTGAGCTAAACTGGCTAGGGGTGGTTGCCTCTTTTTTTTAATTAAATTTATTGGGGTGACATTGGTTAACAAAATTATATAGGTTTAAGACGAACAACTCTACACCACATCATCTGTACACTGCATTGTGTGTTCACAAGTCAAGTCTCCTTCCGTCACCATTTATCCCCTTTTTACCTTCTTCTATTTCCCTCCACCCCCTTTTCCCTCAGGTAATCACCATGCTGTTGTCTGTGTCTCTGAGGGTTTTGTTTGTTTTTTTGTCTAATTCCTTTACCTTTTTCTTTTTCTTTTTTAATATATATTTTATTGATTTTTTACAGAGAGGAAGGGAGAGGGAGAGAGAGAGAGAGAAACATCGATTCAGCTGCCTCTTGCACGCCCCCTACTGGGGATGTGCCCGCAACCAGGGTACATGCCCTTGACCGGAATCGAACCTGGGACCCTTCAGTCCGCAGGCTGAGCCAAACCGGTTAGGGCTCCTTTACCTTTTTCACTCAGCCCCACAAACCCCTTCCCCTCTGACAGCTGTCAGTCTGTTCTCTATGAATGAGTCTCTTTCTATTTTGTTGGGTGCCTCCTGTAAGAGGAACTAGGTGAGTGGGGAGACATTGTGAGGCAGACTGCACTGAATCCTCCTTTATACCTTTTGAATTTTAAATCTCACGGCTCTATTAGCAATTATAAAAATTATTTCAACAGCTCTGGTCAGTGTGGCTGTTGGTTGGGTGTTACCCAGGTATACACCAAAAGGTTGCCGGTATGATTCCTGCTCAGGGCATATTCCCGGGTTGCAGGCTCCATCCCCAGCAGGGAGCATGCAGGAGGCAGCCAATCAATGTTTCACTTTCACATTGTTTCTCTTTCTTTCTCTTTCTCTCTCTCTCTCTCTCCCTTATTCTCTCTCTAAACATAAATAATAATAATTTCTATAGAAAAAACTATCAAGCAAGTTTTAGTTTGTTTTTAAAAAGCCATCACGTAAAGATAACCATAAGAAAAACTAACGATCGGTTTTCTGACCTCTGCTTCTGCCCATACTGAAATAAATGATACCAGATTAGCTCTTCAAACATAAGCTAAAACACTGGGCAAAAGTATATAAACTGTCCTCAATGCCAACAACAGGGAAAGCAAAACTGATCCTTGAAAAAGGGGAGACAAATGAGGTGAGCCCTATGTTCACTCAGGCTTTCTTTCTGCACTTTGGGGACCATCGTGCAGGGAAGGGAACCCGAGAAGAACATGGAAGCCCTACTGAGTACAGATCAGAGTTCAGGGAGGTGAGTTAGCTTGACTTGGTGGGTGCGGAATACCAGAGGGAGGAGCTACTAGTACACAGAGAAGCTTCAATAACCTACCCGGCTGAATTGTAATTATGCATATACAAAGTGAGACTCCACAAGGCCAGGCAAAGAATAAGCATTCAGAGAGCTATACGCTGAAAAATCACTGCCGCCCACAAAGGCTGTCATACATTTGTGTTCCAACCAGCCGGAGTGGAAAGAACTCAATGAACATGGTGCATTCAGTAGACACCTCAGAAAGGCCATATTTAGAAAGAGGACTAAACTAAGCCCAGAGTAAAATCTACTCCAGACCCACTCCATCGCAAAAGGATCAGATGATCTGCAAGTAAATTAACAGCCTGCTAGACAACTCCATATTATCTAAAGAAATATACATAATCCAGACACTAAATGTAATAGTCATAATGTCTAGTATCTAGTCAAAAATTACTAGACATTCTTTTATTGAATACCATCCACCACAGCACAAAAGGCAAAATGTGGTCCGATAACATTAAATATTGTTACAGTTGCTTTAAGGTCAAGCTGAACCTGCTGCATTTGTGCACACTGGTGCAAGACTTACACGTTTATCTCTCCACATTGGTAATTCACTATAAATGTCTACGTATTTTGGTTTTGGAGGAAGAACAGGATTTGAAATAGATGAAAGACCTTTGGAAATCAAGGGTTCTGGAAAATTATCAGTCACTTGTATAACCTTGGATGCCATGTTCAACAGGCTGCAACTTTCCAAGGAATGTGCTAATGGCTGAACTGGCAAAGTTATTTTGCAGCATCTGAGCAAAGCTAGAGACCTGGGAGCTCTGAAACCAGTCATTGTTGGCAGACAGTTTCTCACCAAAACTGGCCTTCCTATCTGCTAGTAGGCTGGACACCCAAGGCAGGCAGCTCAAGCCGGGGCCATAAGCCATGGAGCGTGCGAGCAGACCGTTGCTTCAGAATACACATTTTTTAAAATATATTTTTTAGTGATTTCAGAGAGGAAGGGAGAGGGATAGAGAGATAGAAACATCAATGATGAGAGAGAACCATTGATCAGACGCCTCCTGCACCCCCCTACTGGAAATCGAGCCTGAAACCCCAGCATGTGCCCTAACCATGACCTCCTGTTTCATAGGTTGACGCTCAATCACTGAGTGATCCAGTGTGCCAGTGTGGATGGAGAGAACTAGATGGAGGTAAGAGATATATGTGGAAGAAAAGTGCATGTGACTTGGTGATGGACTGGACATTCAGGGTGATGTAGGAAGCATGATTCCTCAGTTTCTGGCTGGCATAATGTAAAGGACATTGGTTCAATTCATCCAGACAGAGAACGCGAAGAGGCCCTGATTTGGGAAGATAATGGATCTGCTTTGGGACGTGCTGAATTTAAAATGCCTTGGAGATACCAGGTGGGCAGGGAGATTACAGAGGTTGTCTTTCATCGTTAAGGTCCTCCTGACAAAGGAATCTGTGAGCAATTAACAAGAGATTGTTTGGGGGAGAAGAGGGCCTAGAGCCCAGCCTAGTGTCAACAAACATTTACAACGCGGGAATGCCAATAAGATGGGGAAAGACCAGCCAAAGGAGCTACAAGAGCCAAAAGGAAAGAGTGTCACCAGAAGGAAGCAATACTCCAGGGACTCAAACACTCAGGAGAACTCTACTAAACTGAAAACTAAAAAGTGTCCGTTGGATTTAGCGACTTGGAGGCACTGTTAATTTCAGCCACGGTTATGTCTACAGTGATCAAGGGGGTGTCTGATTGGAGTGGGTTAAAGGGCTGATAATGAAATAGCTGAAAACAGACAACTCTGGAGAAGTCTGGCTGTGGATGAAGGGGCGGAAAGCGGCCGTGGATGGGAGGGGGTGGAATCCACAGCTTATTTTGTTTCGTATTCTTAAGCAGGAAAACGTAAGCATGTTTAAAAGATAGGAAAAATTCTCCCAAGAAAGGGTGATGACTCTAGGGAATGACCCGACGGTTCCCCCCGTCCCCGCTATCTCCCCCTCCCGCGTTCTCTCCCCATCGCCCCCAGCTCCTCTCCCCCTTCTCCACTACGCACAGCCCCAAGACCCACGCCACCCGGGCCCGCCAGCCCGGCTCGCAGGCGTCTCCTCACCGCAATGGCCCCTTCGCTCAGGTGTCCCCCCATGACTGCGCCGCGCCAACTCCCGCGTTTCTGATCCTCGGAAGCACCGGCTTCACGGCCCGGGTCCGGCGCGCTCTAAAGCAATTGGCCCGAGGAGCCGCGTACGCCACTTCCGCCTCCTGACGTGCGCACGGCGCAGGGGCGGGCCTAGGAGCTGAGCAGCCACCGCATTGGCCGAGGCAGGGCGGGAGGCCCACGTGACCCTTCGGAGCCCAGGTTCCGGGCCGCTTCCCGGGAAAACTGGGCCCGCAAGGCGGGGAGCTGAACTGCCGGGCGCGCCAAGGGTGACGCGAACGCCGCTACTGGCCCCGGGGACCAGTTCCGGGGACTTTGCTGGCGGGCTCTCGGGAACATGCCCGGCTCGGCCTGGAGCGGGCAGACAGCCTGGTAACCCAGAGCAGAGTTAGAGCTGATGCCCCGCTGCTAAATGTAGTAAAAGCTGTGTGTGGATCCTGAGCTTAGCACAGTGGGAGTTTCTGAATGTAAATTAGACCCGGTTCCTGACCTCAGAGGCGAGCCGTCTGTCGAGGGAGCTTCCACTGTGAGTAGCCCTAACTCCAGGTACACATGGTATCGGCCCCCGGAAAGAGACAAGTGTGCCGGAATCACACAGATGGGAAATCAGGGAAGACTTCCCGGAGGAGGTGCCACTTGAACTGAATCTTGAAGGATGTGTGGACATTTGCCTTGTGCACTTCTAGTGAGAGTAGGGATGCCCCCAGGAAGATGAGTAACCCGTGCAAAAACTAGTAAGGTGGCCCTACCCGGTTTGGCTCAGTGGATAGAGCGTCAGCCTGCGGACTTAAGGGTCCCAGGTTCGATTCCAGTCAAGGGCATATACCTTGGACGTGGGCACATCCCCAGTAGGTGTGCAGGAGGCAGCTGATCGATGTTTCTAACTTTCTATCCCTCTCTCTTCCTCTCTGTAAAAAAATGAATGAAATATACAGTGGAGCCTTGACTTACGAGTGTCCCGACTAACGAGTTTTTTGAGATACCAGCTGTCTCTTGGCCGATTTTTTGCATTGAGTTGATAGAGTGATTTGAGTTAACGAGCTCCTTAACGAGGTCGGTCTCGGAACGAATTAAACTCGTAAGTCAAGGCCCCACTGTATATTTTTTTAAAAAGGACACCTCTTAAAAAAAAAAAACTAGCGAGATGAATAGTCTGTCAAGCTGGGAATAGCTTTGAGTAGCTCAGGATAGTAGGTTGCAGAGGAAAAGTGGTATTTGAGCATTAGAAAGTAAACAAAATAATAAAGGTTTTGTACTGGGCTTTCCTGAATTCTAGGAGAATTGATAAATTTGGAGGATGGATTGAATTGGGGGACAGGGTGAAGGACGGAGGGCATGGACACTTGTTACGATACTCTGGAAAGAATGCCAAACAAGAGAGTGAGGCTTGAACTAAAGGCGATTGAAGGAGGGGGGCGGAGGGGAATGAACTATGTAAGAGGTAGAAATATTTAACTTAATATAGATCCTTCTACAGCATATAAACAAACCTATGCACAGAAAGGGTGCCGGTTTGATTCACTGTCAGGGAAGAGTAGAAAGAAAAATCTCGGGCACTGGCCGGTTAGGCTCAGTGAATAGAGCATCAGCCTTCGTACTGAAGGGTCCCAGGTTCAATTCCCATCAAGGGCACGGACCGTTGCAGGCTCCTGGCCCTGGTCAGGGGCATGTGGGAGGCAAACAATTGATATCTCTCACATCAGTGTTTCTGTCTGTCTCTCCCTCTCGCTTCCATTCTCTCTAAAAATCAATGGGAAAAATATCCTCGGGTGAAGATTTAAAAAAATAATAATAAAATAAAGAGAGAAAAATCTCGGATATCCCTCAGGTTTCTGGCTTAAGCAACTGGTATAGATGAAGGTCTAAGGCAGTGGTTCTCAACCTTCCTAATGCTGCGACCCTTTAATACAATTCCTCATGTTGTGGTGACCCCCAATTTCATTGTTACAAATTGAACATAATTAAAGCATAGTGATTAATCACAAAAACAATATGTAATTACGTATGTGTTTTCCGATGGTCTTAGGCGACCCCTGTGAAAGGGTCGTTTGACCCCCAAAGGGTTTGCGACCCACAGGTTGAGAACTGGTCTAAGGGGACAGGGATGGTGGCTGTCTAGTCACCTAGCATAGTGCCTAGAACAGAGGAGGCTTTTCTGCCGGGGTCGGGGGTCCAGGGGTTCCCAAAGGTGTGGACGGAATCGGCAAAGAATGTTTTACACGGAGACAGCCTTCAGAACTCTCTAGCTCTCTTTAGTCTCCGTGGATCTTCCTGTGCCTGGCTGAGGCCACAGAGAAAAATCCCCAGGCAAGCTGAGCCTTTATTTTATAGTCAGAGGTAAACAAGGTAGTGGTTTCCATAGTTACACTGCTCTTGTGAGTTTCACTTGTTTTGACCATAGTTACACTGTTCTTGTGAGTTTCACTTGTTTTTGTTCTTGTTCTTGCTGCACTTCCCTCAGCCCATTAGCTTCCCAGGTAAGATCTAGGGAGCGTCATAAGGTCAAGCCTAGTTATGCTTTAGAGGACTGTGCCCTCTAAGCTGGGACTTGTTTGTGACTTTGCCAACAGGTCAGTCTGAGGTTTAACCCTATAGCGGCTCCCCACACTTTTCATAAACATTTCTTTTTTTTTAAGAATTTTTTTAGAGGAAGAAGAAGGAGAGAGACAGAGAGAAACAGATATGAGAAGGAAATATCCATTAGCTGCCTTCCACAGGCGCCCCCTAATGGGATGGATGGAGCCTGCAACCTGGGCATGTGCACCGACCAAGAATCCAACCAGCAGCCTTTCCATGCACTGAGCCACACCGACCAGGGCTAAACATTTCTAAGTGAAAGGACAGTTGAGTGAACTGGTCTGAGAGAATATAGATCCTTCTTCAGCATATAAATAACTATTGAAAAAGTTCACAGAATAGCCTGGCTGGAGTGGCTTAGTTGGTTGAGCATAGTTCTGTGCACAGAAAGGTTGCTGGTGTGATTCTCTGTCAGGGAACATGCCTGGGTTGGGAGCTCCATCCCCAGTAGGGGGTATGCGCACTGAGGCTGTCATCAATGTTTCTCTCTTACATCAATGTCTCTTTCTCTCATTCCCCTCACTCTCCTTCTCCCTCTCCTTTTTCTACTTGCTCTCACTCTCCCTCCTTCTCCCTCCTCCCCTCCCATCCTCTCTCAATGCATGTCCTCAGGTGAGGACTAAAAGAAAAAGATCTCAAGAATTGATTTTGTGGCTTCATGCTTGCTGGAATGAAATCTTGATTTGCTAGAACTACACATCAGTAGAAATCTGAGCTCCTTATTTTCTTACTCATTTTGTAGATCTAAAGTACCATGGATCTGCCTGTGGATGAGTGGAAATCATATGTACTTCAGAAGTGGTCTTTGCTCCCAAAATCTACTCAGGTCACAGTTTGTACAGCAGAGACTTTGAGCGATATCTTTCTTCACTCCTCTTCGCTTCTTCAGTAAGTAAATGGAAGCTTTAACCAGGGAAATTTTGATCTGGAAAATGTTCCTGTTTGTCATTTGCTCTAAGTTATCTTTTTGATGGAAGGATTAAATTCAGATTTTTATATTTTGGGACATTCAGCAGTTCTTGCTATTTCCAGTGTTTCCTAACCTACTATTATAGAAAAGGTAGGGATGCTATTTAGCTTTTTCGGTATCAATGTTATGTTTCAATAATCAGTGCCTTGCTATATCGTCACTAGGCTGTGAACATTGCCATTTCCCAGAGGTTGTAGTGGAGATTTACCAGCTGTACATAGAAATTGCTAAGTGCTCAAATTCGGAAAGGACCTTAGAGGATTAACTCCAGTATTTTTCAAACTCTCTTGACTACTCTCTTCAGTAAGAAATATTTTACATCCCAACGTAGTACACATACACATAGAGAGAGAGAAAAACTGAAACAAGAGTTTCCTACAAGTTCACTGAATTTTTATTGATCACCTATTTTGCGCCACAAATTCTCTAAACCTGGTAAAAGACGTCAACCCGCAGATTTCACAGGCTTAGCAAATCCGAAACAGTGTAAACATAAATAATTTCACACCTAGGGACAGCAGACTCAAACTGCCAAAAACTAAAGAAAAAAGAAGAAATCTTAGGTGGCAGCCATCTCCTGCTTGGCACCATGGCTGCCCTCAGACCCTTGAGAAACCAAGATTATCAAAAAGAGGACCAAGAAGTTCATCTGCAGTCAAACCAATATGTCAGAATTAAGCGGAACTGGTGAAAGCCTAGAGGCATTTACAATAGGATGTGCAGAAGGTCAAGGGCCAGATCTTGATGCCCAGCCTTGGTTATGGGAGCTACAAGAAAACAAAGCACATGCTGCCCAGTGGCTTTTGGGAGTTTCTGGTCCACAACTTCAAGGAGCTTGATGTGCTGCTGATATGTAACAACTCTTACTGTGTGTGCTGAGATTGCACACAACGTATCCTCAAAGAACCACAAAGCTATTGTGGAAAGAGCAGCCCAGCTGGCCATCAGAGTTACTAATTCCAATGCCAGGGTGCACAGCGAAGAAAATGAATAGACAGATTGTGTATACATTGTATTTGTGTTAGGAAAACCATAAAATTCTGAAGGGAGGGAGGGAGGAAAGGAGGGAGGGAGGGAGGGAAAGAGAAAATCTTAAAAACAACCAAAGAAGAAAAAAAAGATGTTACCCATATGCAAGTAAAAATAAGACAATGACTGACTTTTTTCCAGTAAAACTATGGAAGCCAGAAGACAATTAAATGGCACATATAAAAACAACGCAAAATAAAACTTGCCAATCTAGAACTCTCTACCTAATGAAAATACCTTTCAAAACTTGGGAAGTGGTAAAAGTACTAACCACTTCTTGGTGCACAGGGGGATGCTCAACCAACTGAGCCACACCACCCAGGACACAAATCAATTTTATTGATCTCACTTAATACCTTTTAGGAGTTGCTTTTGCTCTTATAATAAATACTAAAATTCTTCATATAGATAGTCAGTAAAGATATTGCAATCTAACCATTGCCTATCCTCTGGCCTCCTCTTTCATCATACTCCCCTTTCAGACATATTGG